TGCGTGTGAAAGACCGAAGACCGAAGAATTGATGCCTTCGAATTATGGTGTTGGCAAAGAATGGTGAATATACCATGGACTGCCAGAAGAAGGAACAAGTCTGTCTTGGAAGAAGTACAGCCGGAGTGCTTCATGGAAGAGAGGATGGTGAGACTTCGTCTCACATGCTTTGGACATATTGTCAAGAGGGATCAGTCCCTGAAGAAGGACATCATGCTTGTTGAGGTAGAGAATCAGAGAAAAAGAGGAAGACCTTCAACAAGATGGACTGACACAGTGGCTACAACAATGGGCTCAAACACAGCAAAGGTTGTGAGGATGGCACATGACCGGACAGTGTTCCATTCTGTTGTACATAGAGTCACTACGAGGCAGAACCAATTGGACGGCACCTAACAACAACAACAACAGTATTCCTGTACTGACATAGAAGTATAGCATTCTAGAATATGTTTAAAATTTTGAACTTTATCCTAGGGGATTAAAAAAATGACTGAAGGTTTTAATAAGAAGCATAACATGATTAGATGTGCTCAAACTGTATAGAAAATAGTTTGGAGTAAGGATAATGCTGCATAATGGAGGATTGCAAAAGATTAAGTAGAGGGCTATTGGAAACCAGATGGGAAAAAATATGTAGTTTGGTCTCGGATGGTAGCAGTGGGTTATTTGGAGAGAAGTAGACAGGATTAAAATATGTTTACCAAATGGAAGAGACAGCACTTGGCAATGGGTGGATATAGACAGTGAAAAAAGACCAAGAAAGGCCCCAATATTCCTGTATAAACTAATGGGTGAACAGAAAGACCATTTACTGAGTAGAGAACACCAGAGAAGAAGATTTGGGAACATAACATTATGAGTCCCCTTTTGCCTATGAGTTATCCAAACAGAAATGTCAAATAGAAAAAATAATAATTTAGAATCGAGAAAACATGTTTCATTGCCAAATTCTGAGATCTTCAGGAAATGACAGGAAGTGGCCAGTTGGTCAAGAAGTAAACACGACAGAGTGGAATATGTTATTGCTATATGACACTTGGGGCCAGCTATCACTTTCATATTTCTAGGTTCTTCTGGTTGATGAGAAGGATCATCCAATCCCCAATAAAACCATAATTGCCAGCGTGAATGGAGGTAGATACCAATACAGCTTTACTACTAATGAGCATGGTTTGGCGAAGATTTCCATTGATACCACCAACTTCACATCTTCTTTCATTACAGTGCAAGTAAGTAGAAAGGGGTATAGGGAATGAAAAAATTCAGATCACTGGGGTGGCATCATTTAAGGATATAGGTGAATCATTTAAACTCTAGGGATAAAACGAAAGAGGGTAAAGAGTAAAATAGGAATTGAGCAATTTGGAGACCTAAACTATAAGAAACACAACATTCTGTCAGAAAACTTAATTTAGATAACTCTGTTTACAACATAAGCTAGTGTAAGGAGACACTGAATAGATCATCTTGGTCTTCCCTTGAAAATGTCAACATCTTTATAATTTTAAGACACGTTAGGCTTTGCTTGATTTCTTTGGTGTACCACTATTTTTGTTATGTGTTGAATATTCAAGTGTTCTTATACAATTTACAGCCATAAAGGTGTTAAGAAAAATGTATTGATCTTGATGCAAGTGAATATCTACTGATCAGTATAACACAAACTTATATGACTTTAAGGAGAAGCTGTTTATAGATTGTTTTATTTGGGAAAGAAGACTTGTTACATGGTTCCTATAAATTTTATATGTATTAATAACAAATTGCCTATTTAAGACCTTAATTTCTTCTACTAGGTCACTTTTAAACCAACTAACTACTGTTTTGATAACTGGTGGCTAGAAGAATCTCATATAGAAGCGCATCAGACTGCAAGGCATGTTTTCTCGCCAAGTAAGAGTTATATTCACATTGAACCTGCTGCTGGTACTTTGACCTGTGGACAAACTCAGGAGATCAGGACACACTATATCTTGAATGCACAGATCCTGAAGAACCAAAAAGAGTTAATTTTCTATTTTTTGGTAAGAATAAAAGCCACTATAGCTCTTTCTAATTGTGTAGACTCCAAAGAGATAGAGTTTCTGTGTAAGTGATGCCCCTTAGGAGAAATCGTATCAATATTGACTTTTTATGTGTGTTTTTATGCTTAAAGAAAAGTTACTTCCTAGCAAAATTACTAATGCTTTGCTTTCTTATTTGTATTCTGATGCCCACTGAAATATATAGGTATTTTTCTTGCTGAGTTCCAATGGCAAATTATTAAGTAGGAGAGAAAAGAGCCTGTCTTAGTCATCTAGTGCTGCTGTAACAGAAATACCACAAGTGGTTGGCTTTAACAAAGAGAAATTTATTCTCTCACAGTTTAGGAGGCTAGAAGTCCAAATTTAGGGTGCCAGCTCTAGGGAAAGATTTTCTTTCTCTGTTGGTTCTGGGGGAAGGTCCTCGTCATTGATCTTCCCAGCTCTAGGAGCTTCTCAGCACAGGAACCCCAGGTCCAAAGGACGCACTCTGCTCCCAGCACTGCTTTCTTGGTGGTATGCAGTCCCTATGTCTCTCTGCTCTTCTCTCTTTTATATCTCAAAAGAGATTGGCTCAAGACACAATCCAATCTTGTAGCTTTAGCCCTGCCTCACTAACATGACTGCCGCTAATCCCATTTCATCAACATCATAGAGATAGGATTTACAACATATAGGAAAATCATATCAGATGACAAAATGGTGGACAATCACACAATACTGGGGATCATGATCTAGCCAAACTGATACACATATTTTTGGGAGACACAATTCAATCCATGACAGAGCCTAAAACAAAAGCTTTATTAGTGAAAACAATGATTTTCTTAGAACTCAGAAGATAAATAATCAAAGGCCAAGGACCAAGAATTTATTTAAAAGGAAATAAAAATGATCCACAACTCTCTGGAAAAAGATTCAACTCTGACATTAATTGGAGAAATGAAAATTAAAACACTAAGACATTTTACACCTACAAAACCAAAAACAAAAACCCTGTTGCTGTCTATTCAATTCCAGCTCATAGAGACCCTATAAGACTGAGTAGAACTGCCCCATAGCGTTTCCAAAGCTGTAATCTTTACAGAAGCAGATTGCCCCATCTTTCTCACAAGGAGCAGCTAGTGGATTCAAACCCTCACCAACCTTCCGGTTAGCAGTGGAGCACTTAACCACTGCCCCACCAGTGCTCCTTTTACAGCTATAAAGCTTCTAAATAATTTATAAACCTCATGAGTGGTGTAATTGCAGGAGAAAAGTACATTGACAGGCATATTATAAATGGGTGTTAGTGGTAAGATAAGTGTCAGAACCTGACTAACTTCAGGAGGGATAATGTGAATCAAAATCAGCCCAAGCCTGATCCATATGAAGTGGAGGTCAAACGTGCCACCGCTCTTCAACCTTTTTACCAATTCTGACATCAGCCATCCTTCCCATAGCACTGTGCTTCTCTTCTGGGTTTGATAATCCATTGCAGTGGCCACATAGAACTCACAGACCATACTCACAGTTAAGTGATTTATTAAGGAATAGACTACAGCATAGGATCAGGATCAGGAAGCATGTAGGCAAAATCTCCCTTCTTCAGTGCAGCACAGCTCTCTCAGCTCCTCTCGACCATGCAGGTCTCCTCTTAGCCCCCTGAGCACAGCTTCTCTCAGTTCCCTCAGGACAGGTTACTCTTGGCCCTGCCATCTGTCACCACCAACTCTGCCCCTAGACTCCTTCTGGGCCTCTCACTGACTTCAGCGTTATAGCCCTTTATCCATGTTACAGCTCTTTTAGGAGATTCCTTGCCTCTTCTCACTCTCTCTGCCGCTTCTCTCCTCTCTTCCTTCTTCCCTCTTCTTCTTTCTGTCCAAAACAATCTGTCTGCCGTTGGATGCCTATACATACAACTCCTTGTCAAATTCAAGACATAGCACTCCCACCAGGGCCATTAACTGACCAATAATACCCTCTCGGTAGGCCAGGAACACTTCATTTGCAAAGTCTATTGATCAATCCCTGATAGGTGCATACCAATCACAGGGCGGGCTGCAGTGCAGGCCCAGACAAAAAGTATCAAACCACAAGTTGTTTACAACTTACCCAGGAAATGTCAGTCAACCTGGACAAAAGCAACAAACCCTCTGGGGTAGAAAACTAGAGCAAAGGAAATAACTCAGGGCTTAGGGGAAAAAATCTCTCAAACTGTTTTTTCCAAAGAACGGAGGCAAAAGGCCCCATAAGGAACTCATGTGACCATAGCACAATACTTTTGAGACTAATAAATCCTCCCCAACATGAAACATCCAAAGCTACTAGTTACCCAAGGAAATCATTTTAGGAAGAAAAAGTATTATGCAGGAAATTCTGTATAGGAACATTAACTATAAACAACATCTTTAAAAACACTCTATGAAAAAGTAAAATAATTACCAGTAAGTTAGAGTCTTAGCTCTATCACTTCCTAGGTAAGTGGCTTCAAACAATTTACCTAATCTCATTTGTAAAGAAAAATATCAGTTCTCTTTCCTGAATACAGGACAAATATTAATACCTACTTCATGGAGTTACTGTGCAAATTAAGTACAACCTTAAAACTAAATTATTTACTTCAGTGCTTGGAACATACAGAATGCTCAATAATTTAGCCATCGTATAAGAGAGAATAGAACTGCCGGTAGGATTTCCAATGAGTGGCTGGTGGATTCGAACTGCTGACCTTTTGGGTAGCAGCTGTAGCTCTTAACCACTGTACCACTAGGGCTCCTTATTTTTAATAGGGGCAACAATCGAGAATACTTATGCATATTTTGTATCTGACTATACTGTATTTTGTTTTGCATATAGTGGATGCTTAAAATATTTGTTGAAAGAATAATATGTAAAGTTGAAATATTAATATTAAAAAGAAATAGTAAATATTAAGTGAAACAGTAAAACAAATTGTAAAATTATATATTTGTTACTTTAAGTATATAAATATACATACAGAAAAATACTAAAAATTTACGTGATTAAAAAAACTTCTCAGTTGGAATAAAGATTATCATTTATTTACATATTTTGAATGTGTTTCAGTAAGTTTGGTACGTGCATCTTAAAACAATAATGAGTGTATTTCTCTGTCTTCAGATCAAAGCAAGAGGAAGCATCTACCACTCAGGAACTAATGTATTATCCATTGAACAAGGAGAGAGTAAGTATTTTCAGAATTTCCTATTTTTTCTCTCACGTCTTCAAATCCTGAGCAATTTAGCTTGATAGAGCTATTTTCAAATTAGAGGAAGTAGTCACCAACCTTCTATCAACCAAGACGGAGAAGCTGATAAAATAGAATGGTATACTGGATTCATTTCAGTCCACTCAGGACTTCTTCTTTTTATAGCATTTCTATATTTTAAATTTAATTCCTAAACATGAAGAAAATAATTTTAAAATTCAAGAAATAACTTTAAAATGTAGAAAATTACCAAAGAAAAATTTTACTTTTTATGTTTTTATATTAGTTTACCACAAACTTACTGGTTATATATATATATAATTTTACTGGTTACTGGTTAAATACATACATGCATATATATATAGTTCTATAAGTCAGAAATCTGATTAGGCTAAAATACAGGTGTCAGCAGGACTGCATTCCTTCTGGAGAGCTACAGGAAAATCTGTTTCATTGCCTTTCTCAGCTTCTAGTAACTGCCTGCATTCCTTGGCTTTGGGCTTGAAGGCACCAAAAATACCACTGGGGAAGAGGTGCCTCCTGAAAGTAGGGTCAACCTTAATGACATGGATGGAGTAAAGCTTTGGGGACCTTCATTTGCTGATGTGGCACTACTCAAAATGAGAACAGCTTCAAACATCTGTTAGTAACTGGAAAGTGGAATGTACAAAGTACTAATCAAGGAAAACTGGAAGTTGTCAAAAATGAAATGGAACACTTGAAGATCAATATACTAAGCATTAGTGAACTGAGATGGGCTGATATTGGCCATTTTGAATCAGACAATCATATAGTCTACTATGCTGGGAGTGACAAATTGACGAGGAGCAGCATCACATTCATCTTCAAAAAGAACATTTCAAGATCTATCGTCAAATATATACAGCGCTGTCAGTGATAGGAAAATATCCACATAATCTGACTATTATTCAGATTTACCTACCAACCACTAATGCCAAAGATGAAGAAATTAAAGACTTTTACCAACTTCTGCAGTCTGAAATTGATCAAACATGCAATCAAGATGCATTGATAATTACTGGTGATTGGAGGCAAAAGTTGGAAACAAAGAAGGATCGGTAGTTGGAAAACACGGCCTTGGTGAAAGAAGTGATGCTGGAGATCAAATGATAGAATTTTGCTAGACCAACAGCTTACTCAATGATTAAGGAGCCCTGGTGGCTCAATGGTTAAGTGATCAGCTTCCAACTGTAAGGTTGGAGATTCAAACCCACCAGCAGCTCCACAGAAGAAAGTACCTGGCAATGTGCTCCGTAAAGACTGCAGCCTAGGAAACCCTATGGGGCATGTTGGTTGTTGTTAGGTGTCATTGAGTCGTTTCCAACTACTAACAACCTTATGTACAACAGAACGAAACACTGCCCAGTTCAGTGCCACCTTCACAACTGTTGCTATGTTGAAACCCATTGTTGCAGCCACTGTGTCAATACATATCATTGAAGTTCTTCTTCTTTTTCAATGACGCTCTACATTACCAAGTATGATATCTGTTTTAGTTATCTATAACAGAAATATCACAAGCGTATGGCTTTAACAAAGAGAAATTCATTCTCTCAGTCTAGTAGGCTAGAAGTCCAAATTCAGGGAGTTAGCTCAAGAGGAAGGCTTTCTCTCTGTGTTGAATCTAGGGGAAGGTCCTTGTCATCAATCTTCCCCAGTCGAGGAGCTTCTCAGCGCAGAGACCCCATGTGCAAAGGACTTGATATTCTCCTGAGTCTTGTTTCTTAGTGGTAAGAGGTCCCCCTGTCTCTCTGCTTGCTTCTGTCTTTTATATCTCAAAAGAGATTGGTTTAAAACACAACCTAATCTTGTAGATTGAGTCTTGCTTCATTAACATTACTGCCTCTAATCCTGCCTCATTAATATCATAGAGATAGGATTTACAACACATAGGAAAATCACTTTGGATGAACAATAGTGAACAATCATACAATACTGGAAAGCATAGCCTAGCCAAGTTGACACATATTTTTAGGGGACATAATTCAATCCATGACAATGTCCTTCTCCAGGGACTGGTCCCTCCTGATAACATGTCCAAAGTATGTGAGACAAAGTCTTGCCATCCTCGCCTCTAAGGAGCATTCTGGGGGTACTTCTTCAAAGACAGATTTGTTTGTTCTTTTGACAGTCCATAAGTATATTCAATATTCTTCGCCAACACCATAATTCAAAGCCATCAATTCTTCTTCAGTCTTTCTCGTTCATCATCCATCTTTCACGTGCATATGAGGTTATTGAAAACACCATGGCTTGGGTCAGGTGCACTTTAGTCCTCAAGGTTACATCTTTGCTTTTTAACACTTTAAAGAGGTCTTTTGCAGCAGGTTTGCCCAACACTATGTCGCTTGATTTCTTGACTGCTGCTTCCAAGGGTGTTGATTGTGTGTCCAAGTAAAATGAAATCCTTGACAACTTCAATCTTTTCTCCATTTATCATGATGTTGCTTATTGGTCCAGTTGTGAGGATTTTAGTTTTCTTTATGTTGAGTTGCAATCCATACTGAAGGCTGTAGTCTTTGATCTTCATCAGTAAGTGCTTCAAGTTCTCTCCACTTTCAGCAAGCAAGGTTGTGTCATCTGCATATCGCAAGTTTGTTAATGAGTCTTCCTCCAATTCTGATGCCACGTTCTTCTTCACATAGTCCAGCCTCTCAGATTATTTGCTCAGCATACGGATTGAAAAAGTATGGTGGAAGGATACAACACTGATGCACACCTTTCCTGATTTTAAACCACACAGCACCTCCTTGTTCTGTTTGAATGACTGCCTCTCTTGGTCTATATACAGGTTCCTCATGAGCACAGTTAAGTACTCCAGAATTCTCATTCTTTGAAATGTTATCCATAATTTGTTATGATCCACATAGTCAAATGCAGGTAAACATCTTCCTGGTATTCTCTGCTTTCAGTCAAGATTCATCTGACATCAGCAATGATATCTGTCGTTCCACGTTCTCTTCTGAGTTTGGCTTGAATTTCTGGAAGTTCCCTGATGATGTATTGCTGCAACCATTTTTGAATTATCTTCAGTAAAATTTTACTTGCGTGTGATACTAATGATGTTGTTTGATAACTTCCACTTTCTGTTGGATCACCTTTCTTTGGAATGGGTATAAATATGGATCTCTTCCAGTTGGTTGGCCAGGTTGTTGTCTTCCAAATTTCTTGGCATCGATGAGTGAGTGCTTCCAGCGTTTGTTGAAACATTTCGGTTGGTATTTTTTCAATTTCTGGAGCTTTGTTTTTCACCAGTGCCGTCAGTGCTCTTCAATTCTTTCAGCTTGAGAAAGGCTGAGTGTGTTCTTCCCTTCTGGTTTTCTAACTCCAGGTCTTTGCACATTTCATTATAATACTTTACTTTGTCTTCTTGAGCCTCCTTTTGAAATCTTCTGTTCAGCGCTTCATCATTTCTTCCATTTGCTTTAGCTATTCTATATTCAAGAGCATCCATTTTCGTCTTCTCTGACATCCATTTTCGTCTTTTCTTTCTTTCCTGTCTTTTTCATGACCCTTTGCTTTCTTCACGTATGATGTCCTTGATGTCATCACACAACTAGTCTGGTCATCAGTCATTACTGTTCAGTGTGTCAAATCTATTCTTGAGATGGTCTCTCAATTCATCTGGGATATACTCAAGGTTGTACTTTGGCTCTCGTGGACTTATTTTAATTTCATCAACTTTAACATGAACTTGCCTATGAGAAACTGATGATCTCTTCACCAGTTGGCCCTGGCCTTGTTCTCACTGACGATATTGAGGGTCTACATCATCTCTTTCCACATATGTAGTCAGTTTAATTCCTGTGTAGTCCGACCATCCAGGTCCGTGTGGATAGTGGCCATTTATGTTGTTGGAAAAAAAGGTGTTTTCAATGAATAAGTCATTGGTCTTGCAAAATTCTATCATGCAATCTCCAGGGTCATTTCTATTACTAAGGCCGTATTTTCCAAGTACCAATCCTTCTTTTATTTCCAACTACCGATCCTTCTTCTTTGTTTCCAATTTTTGATTTCCAATCACCACTAATTATCAATGCATCTTGGTTGCATGTTTGATCAATTTCAGACCGCAAAAGTTGGTAGAAATCTTCAATTTTTTCATCTTTGGCATTAGTGGTTCGTGGGTAAATTTGAACAATATTCATATTAACTGGTCTTCCTTGTAGGCATGTGGATATTATCCTTTCACTGGCAGCATTGTACTTCAGGATAGATTCTGAAATGTTATTTTTGATGATAAATGTCATGCCGTTCCTCTTCAATTTGTCATTCCCAGCATAGTAGACCACCACCGTCTGATTCAAAATGGAAAATTACAGTCCATTTTAGTCTCGTTATCTAGTACTGCTATAACAGGAATACCACAAATGGATAGCTTTGACAAACAGAAATTTATTCTAGAAGGCTAAAAGTCCGAATTCAGGGTGCCAACTCCAGGGAAAGGCTTTATCTCTCTGTCAGCTATGGGAGAAGGTCCTTGTCACCAATCTTCTCCTGCTCTAGAATCTTCTCAGTGCAGGGATCCCAGGTCCAAAGGACCCATGCTCCTGGCTCTACTTTTTTGTTTGTATGAGGTCCCCATGAGGCCATAGGTGTAGATTGGGAGATGCAAGGTAATGTGACAGGAGTGGAGACCATGGGCATTTGGTCCACTTCCTCATGCAACTCATTTATGCCTTCAGGTCCTGCTTGGGCCCAATCTTGTATATACCACTTTCATTTAATGATGGAGTGCTGCTGTGCATGTCCAACTTTATGGCTCTGTGGTTCAGACAACACCCAGTTCATGATGGGCAGGTCAGGGCACATGGTGAATTGGTGGCCCATGGTTAAGCATTCAGTCTCCACTAAGGCTCAGTAACAAGCCAAAAGCTGTTTCTCAAAAGGAAAGTCATTATATGCGGAGGATGTCAGGGCTTTGCTCCAAAATCCTAAGGATCTGTGCTGTGATT